GGTGATTTAAAGTGCATTGAAAAGATAACTCAAAGATATACAAATCTTTCAGATACAATATTTCCAATTCAAACATTTCCCATGCCAAAAATGGGTCTCAAACTGAGACTGAAAATTCGAAGTATAACTTTTTCGGTTGGAAGTTGATATGTGATAGTACTTGGACTATATTTCATCCATTTGATTTCTTTCCTCATCCAATTGATATCTAACACTCTCAATCTTCATCGTGAGGTTCGACGTAACTTTTGATTATTTGCATTTTAGTCCCTGAACTTTGCATTTGATACAATTGAGCCATTTTTCGCTATCTTTGCATTCTTTTCTCCTATTCTTCATCAAATATTGAGTTTTACATACAAAATATAACACAAGTTAGGTAGTATTTTATCTAAAAAAAGTAAAATATCATCATTTAGGATCTCGAATAAGTATAGAAACTACACTTATCACATCACATGTCAAAAGGTTCTGGAATTTCTGTATAAGATATGTACTTTCAAACAGAGTGTCGTACAAGACATATCCTTTCGAATAGATTATATCCAAACAGACATGTATTGTCATTTATGCCTTTTCCAATAATTGGTTGTATCTTTTGTACACAACCATTCAACATCAATATTGGCTCTCCATTTCCATTTCCATTTCCATTCATTTGAAAATTACACTTATCACATCACATGTCAAAAGGTTCTGGAATTTCTGTATAAGATATGTACTTTCAAACAGAGTGTCGTACAAGACATATCCTTTCAAATAGATTATATCCAAACAGACATGTATTGTCATTTATGCCTTTTCCAATAATTGGTTGTATCTTTTGAACACAACCATTCAACATCAATATTGGCTCTCCATTTCCATTTCCATTTCCATTTCCATTTCCATTCATTTGAAAATTCACAGCATTCGCCCTCCATTCCACAAAGATGGACTTTGCTTCTATTTTCATACAGATTAAAAAATATATAATTAATATTACATTTTCACCCTACATTGAATAATGATTTAAATATGAGTATTTCATATTTGTTGATAACAAAACACATTAAATTGAGACATATTAGAAAATTAAGAAATCAACTATACTCTCGACATGAAAATGACCTATAACTTGGGACTAATGAAAAAAGCAAGCAAATCTATTTTTATAGACAAAAGGATTATATATACTTACATACACAATTATGTCTTTTGAGTTTCGGTCTCGAGAATCTTATACTGCATATTTTCAATCCATCTTTGTGTTAGAGAGTTCAAAATGCTAGTAGGTTCGATAGTCTTTTAATTTGGAGTGCTACCATTACAAGGCGTGGTTGTTCTTTTGGGAGATGAGTATCGAAAGATGATCATCACTAGTGCTGGGTATTGTCTTAAGAAAAAAGAATCCAACTCTTGCCTCGATCACTTCGAAGTCTTTTTCCTTCATTTCTTTTCTTCTACGTTTCTGTTTCATTTTTTTTTTCGGTAAGTGGATATTATGTCCATTTTATTGCATGTAAAATATTTTTAAGAACATAATTTGCACCTAATTTTCCTTATAGTTTGCTCATTCAAGAATGAAGATGCATACAGGCAATTGAGCCATGGGAAAAATTGCAGTGTGGAAAAAAAAGTTGTCTACATGCAAGGGCGGACGTAGACCTTAAATGTTAGGGGGGTACAATCGAACTTGTAAAGAAGTTGGAAAAAATTTGACAATCAAAAATTTACGTCCAAAAAAATCATACCCCATGTAATTTTACATCTGAAAATTTACATGGGACATGATTTTTTCGGATGTAAAATTTCGAAAATTTTTGATGTCATATTCCATCTAAAATTTCCTAATAAAATGATGAAAATTATATTGAGAAATTTATATTGAAAAAATAATAAATGTTAATGAAATAATTGAATTTTTTTTAAAAAATGCGAGCTATGCGTCTTTTTTTAAGATTCACGTTTAATGTATTTTTAACTATTTTTTATATCTGTTTGGATTTAAAATTAATTGTTAACTTTGCTTTAGATTAAAATTTAAATTTCAATCGACCAAACACGATTTCATGAAAAAAAAAATCTGAAAAGTTAGGAGGGGGGGCACTTGCCCCCTAGGACCACCCTCCCTAGGTCCGCCCATATCTACATGAGATGAACTCAAAATTTGCTGAATAAAAATAGGAAGAACTTATAGCATGTGCATACCCATTCCTCTTGGGAATGAGTAGTATTATACATCAATCTAGTTTAAGCAGGGTCATTATCCGCTCCATGAAAAATTGCTCCCTTTTAAGACTACAATGAAAAATAATTCAATTTTTCAAAATGAATGAGCTTACGTAATAAATAAATACATGCATTCCTCTCGAATAATTTAAGCTTCAAGTTGCATTTGACGCACTGTATTAGACCAGATAAGAAATAATACATAAAATTAGAAAGGATAATACTAGATAGATAGTATTACGATGGATTAAGGTCGATACTCTTCCTTTGTTTTTATTTAGAAATGATGCCAGTTACACTATATCTTATCTGGTAAAATCTTATATCCGCCCTTTGCATTATGTTATAAACTTATAGTGCAAATGACCTTTTGGATTAAGCAATCAAAACTATTATACATCTTAGTCCACCATAATACCATTCACCTACTACTCTTCAATAAATTTTATATTAAATTCCTTGCACGATCTAGTACAGTGCGTCAAATGCAACCTAAAAATGATGTATCACCACTCTTTTATGAAAATGTGCACACTTAGAACTTTGCGAAAAAAAACTTGATATGACTACTAGATTTGAATAAACAGGTGCATCTCTTCTCTAGTAATAACTTAAAAACTTTTAAACCATATAATCCAAAGCTACACAAAAATTCCAGAATTCAGTTACACCAGATCTACAAAGAAAATTAGCTTGTTTGGGAGGAATTAAAATCCAATTAAAATTGAAAATATAGCTCTTATTCAGTCTCACTCATCTAATAAAAGTCAACAATAATGACTATTTTTTTAATTTTAATCTGATTTTAATAACTACCAAACACACTCAATTGCCTGATCCTGGACAATGTGAGTGCACGAACATAGGGTAGGGTGGGGGTGAAAATAGAAATATTGAATGAGTAATGGGGAATTAGACATGTGGGACCTAGTAGAATCCGAAATAAGACCAAGAAACATACTAAATTGTTATGTTATTGATCTGTAATGTGTTTTGAGAAGGAAAAAATTTGATCGTATCTAAATCTTTATGTAAGCCTGTCGGGAGAAGTGGAAAACAAAGACCCTTCTGTTTCTTCAGACTTTGCCGGTCAGCCTCACTGTGTAAATTCTGCAATGGCTGTAAAGAATTCTTTTAGAAGAAACAACCTTGTACTAGCACGTAGTTGTTTATATTACTTCCAGATCTGAACTGGGATTGCTTGGTTGTACTTAATAATCCTTGTTATAGCCAATTAAGCATTAATCATTTATGTTTTAACTAATTGTACATTTTCAACCGTTCCCTGAAATACAACATTACAGCTCACAGTCAGATTTTTCAGATTAGAATAACAATCATGCTATGGTGCCAGACTAATTAACATAATCCTTGACATTCCATCATTAGACTCTTTTAAATACAGTCGACTTTTTCATCAAATCATCTGCTGTCATATCGAATTATGTCATTGCATCTATTAAATATTTTCTGTCTAAGTGGCAAAATGGGGCCCACATGTTCTGTGTATTCTATCCGATTTCTGTAGATAATTTCCTGTACCCATAGCATTGTTCTTTTCACTTATACGATTAGAGATTCAAGGGTTGTAATTTGGTTCGTAATCAAACTGAATAATTCTTAACTAGACTCTCCACGTTTACCTCGGAAAACTCCATTTTGAACAAAAAAGAAAAAAGAAAAATTATGATGTTATATACCACAACCAGGGTTACAATTGGCAACTCGCAACATGTGGTTTCCTATACATACACAGTACTTACTAATATTAAGAAAGGGATTTCCATGTTGGGTGGTACATACAATATTATTCATCTTAAGGTTTTTAAGTTTAGCTGGTTGGATAGACACTGACCCACGTGCAACTAGCACGTTCCATTCCTTTTCTCTATATATATACCTTATCCCTAAACAAGGCATATCACATTCATACAGAATATTGAATATTAGGTTATTACTTCTCTCAAGATTTAACAAAAACAAATAGCTAACAATGGCTTGTTGGTCTGCTGAAAATGCCACCAAGGCCTATCTTAGAACCATGAGAATGGTGAGTTTCAAGAATTCGTTATGTTAAACTATATCATCTTGTTGGGAACAAACAAGAAGTCCCATATCGGTTGGGAGAAAAAAAGAAATCCACTTCACCCATTGCCAATTGGTTTTGGGTTGGAACCTCACTTGAGCTTAGTGGTGTGGGCTTGGGCCCTGTCAATTTGCTCTTTATTTTCCCTACAACTGATATCAGAGCCTAGGGTCGAAGGAACGCAGTAAAAAGCATGATGGCGATCCGGCTAAAAATCATTCGTGTTTGAGGTGCCTGTGTCGAAAGTCTTCCTGACATTGGTGGTCAGGCGACGGGTCCCGTTGGATCGAGGGCGACGGTAATAACGGCGTTACAAGATGATTGGCGAATGAATTATCGTTTGAGGGAAGATCACAATGATGTGGTCCTTCATTTGAGGGGAAGATTGTTGGGAGTAAACAAGAAATCTCACATCGATTGGGAGAAGAAAAGAAATCCACCATATAACTTAAGTGGGTAACTCCACCCATTGCCAATTGGTTCTGGGTTAGAACCTCACTTGGGCTTGAGCCCGGTCAATTTGCTCATTATTTTCCCTACACATCTCAAAGTCTAAATTGTTAGAGACTGTTTGCCTAATTTAACATTCTCTTCTGATATTTGAACTCACTCAATTTGATATTTCTTGCAGGGAGAAAAAGCTAAAGAGCCTAATGGAGTCGAGTTCACTTCAGCGCTTGCAGTAGGCAACAATGCGTAAATCATGGTTGTTGCATGTGCAGGTGCTGCCCACTCAACCATATTAGCCCTGGTTGCAGCAACCCAACAAAGCCACGGGCGAGTTATCTGCATTCTTAGCAGCAAACAGGACCACCATCTGTCTAAGACAACTCTGGGCATAAATGTAGGTCATGTCGAATTTGTAACTGGAGATGTTAAAAATTTCCTTATAAACTATTACAAGGAAGCAGATTTTGTTGCCATTGATTGTAATCTTGAAAATTATGAGGCGATTATCTGCTCGATTCACGAAAACACAAGACCAAACAATACAATTGTTGTAAGATATAACGCATTTTGCAAAGAATCATGGAGGAATAGCCCTTTGTGTAGTGAATTGCTGCCAATAGGAGAAGGCTTGCTATTAACGAGAATAGGAGCTAAAAGGAATAGGAATGGTTCTGGTTTGAAAATGAGAGGGAATTGGATTGTGAAGGTGGATAAATGCACGGGTGAAGAGCATGTATTCAGGGTCGGATCTTCTGTTGGGAGAGTCATTAGAGCCTGATCCGTGAGGTTATGTCCACTTTCCACTGTTTTAAAAAAGAGTTCAAAGTAATTTTTTCCTAGGTCTATCAAATGTAAATAGGAAACGAATCAACCACATAGAAATTTCATTTTATCCTAGGATAATTATCTGTCAAGTTTTGGTGATTTTATGTCATGGTTGAGATAAAAGTGAAAATGTATCTAACTTTAAAATCAGATTGGCATAACTAGAATATGATCTACTAGTCTGATGAAAATTTCAGGAAAAATAGCAGTTTTCCCTTCTCAAATACACGTGTAAATACTGCATTGATGGACTTCGTTGCTGAACTTTTAGACGCCCCAATTCTTGAAAGTGAATCCAAACAGGAAGAAGTCTGGAAACTATATGTCGATGGTTCGTCAGGGGAAAATTGTGCCGGAGCTGGAATAATTTTAACTAATCTAGAAGAACATAAATTAAAATTATGCAATAAGGTTCACATTTAAAGCAACGAACAACATGACAGAATATGAAGCTTGGCTAGCTAACTTGCGACTAGCTAAAGAAATGCATGCCCGAAGAGTCGAAGTAAAAAGTGATTTGCAGCTGATAGTAAACTAAGTTAACGGAAAGTTCTCCGCTAAAGATAAAAGAATGGCCGCATACTTGAATGATTTTATGGATCTGACACAACACTTCGATAAAATCGAACTCTCAAAAATACCAAGAGAGGAAATGAGATATGCTGCGTATTATCCAAGGTAGCAAATACAAAGGATGCTGAGTTATTTAAAACCATACAGGTGGAATTATTAACAAACCCATCAATCAACCAGAAAAAAGGAAGAGAATCTATGGATTCAAGGAGAAATCCCGTTGATACAAGAGATTATATCATACCTAAGAGATGGAAAACTTTGAGAGAACAGAAAAGAAGCAACAAGATGTACATGAGAGTAGCCAGATATGTGTTACAAGATGAAATTCAATTCAAGCGAGGATACACGATCCCTTTGTTAAGATGCACCGGCGGACCCAGGGCTAGGTGGGGGGCACGTGCCCCCCAACTTTGCTTTTTTTTTTTCCTCTATGTTTTGCTTCAATTTTCGAAATCATTATAAGATGTGAAACGAAATCGAAATATTGCATTCTTAATACCATTTCGAAGCGCTCACATTCTAGTTTTTTATGTCGTTAACGGCGTGCGAAACGAACAATCATAGCAAATGTTATTACTTGTCAAAGTAGGCGGTTTAAAATTAGTATTTTAAGAATTTCGATAACATGCTAACTTAAAAAATTAGTCGAATCTACAAATCACTTATATCATCTCAAAGCTAGTTTTGAGGATTACATTATAGGCATATCGAATAGTTCAAACAGTTATCGAAAATGGTTAAATATGCGTCAAACGTACGTCTTAAAAAAAGGCTGCTAACTCGCATTTTTTTAAAAATTTAATTATTTTATTAACATTTATTATTTTTGTGATACAAATTTCTCAAAATAATTTGCATTATTTTATTAGGAAATTTATATGGGATATGACATCAAAAAATTTCAAAATTTTACATTCGAAAAAGTCATATTCCATGTAAATTTTCGGATGCAAAATTACATGGGCAATGATTTTTTTTATGTAAATTTTTTATTGTAAAATTTCTCCCAACTTTTTGCAAGTTAGATTGGGCCCCCTAACTTTAATTGTCTGCGTCCACCCCTGTTAAAATGGGTAAACATTAAGGCCCCGTTCGAGATGGATTAAAATCCAATTAAAATTGAAAATATAGCAGTTATTGGGTCCCACTCATCTAATAAAAGTCAACAATAACGACTATATTTTCAATTTTAATCAGATTTTAATCCCTCCCAAACAAGCTCTAAAGAAGTAATGTTTGTAATGAGAGAAATTCACGAAGGCATATGCGAAGATCACTTGGCGGACATTCCCAAGCACAGAAGGTGTTGAAACAGAGATATTATTGGCCAACTATGAGAAAAGATGCCATAGATATTATTGGCCAACTATGCGAAAAGAAGCCATAGACTTCTCCAGAAAATGTGAAAGATGTCTAGGTTCGCAATTATACCTCAGCAGCCTTCACATAAATTGATTACTACCAACAACCATTGGCCTTTTGCCAAATGTGTTATCAATTTTGTTCGACCTTTACCCAAAGGAAGAACTAACATGAGGTTCATGTTTGTGGAGATAGATTATTTTACGAAAGGGGTCGAAGTGGAACCTCTTGCCAACATCACCGAAGCTAACACCAGTAAGTTCATCTCGAAGAATATCATTTGTCGTTTCGGGATTCCAAACTCTATTATTTCTAATAACGGGGCACAATTTCAAGGGAAAAATTCGAAAGCTATGTGCGAAGAGTTAGGGATCCATTGACACTTTTCTACTTCATATTCTCCTCAAGCAAACTCACAGGTGGAAGCATTAAATAAAACATTGAAGAGCATTTGGAATAGAAAGCTTGATTCTAAGAATGGATTATGGGTTGATGAGTTACACAAATCTTATGGTCATATTGCACTATAACAAGAACCACCACAAGAGAAACTCATTTCTCTTAGCTTACGGAGCTGAAGTCATGATTCCATTGGAAATAGGCTTGAGTTCAACAAGAAAGCCGAATTTTGATGAAGAACATAATGAAGAAGCCATGAATGCAACTCTAGATCTTTTGAAGGAACAACGAGATATCTGCCAAATGAAGCTCGCAGTATATCAAAGAAAGATGGAAATGCATTTTAATTCCAATATTCGCAGGAAAATATTTAAAGTTGGTGAATTGATACTAAAGAAAATAATTGTCGTTGACAAAGAAATGGAGTCAGGTTTGTGTGGCCCAAAATGGGAAGGGCCATACATTGTAGTTGAAGGAGTAATGCCAAGAACATATAAATTGGAGGACTGAAATGGCGAACCTTTCAAACATTCATAGAGTAGCAAACATTTGAGAAAGTATTGTCAATAAAAATAACTTTGGTTTGGTTATCAACGAAGTCATATAATTGCAAATTGACAAATTGGTGTTTGAAGTAATGTTTTGAATTTGCATTGATATGACCCCAAATCATTCACGTGAACAAGCTTATCAAACTCAAACAAATGCATTACTCACGTGAACAATAGATAAATAGAATAGAAAATCTAGAATTTTTTTACAACAAAATGCTACAAGTGCAAGCTCGGCTTCGTTAAGTCAACAAAAAAGATTACATTCCCAAAATGGGCTAATCTAGCAAAATTTATGTGGAAGATACATAAAGCTCGCTTAATCTCAAACTTCTATGTTCGTACATCCGAAAAACCTCCCCGAAGGTAAACGAATGACAAATCAAAAGTGTTTTTATAGAATCATGTTCAGCGAAATGGAATGCCCATTTGATAGCCCATAGGGTAACAACCAACCAAAATCAATGTTTTTCCACCATGGGGGATTCTTCCCAAATGCATATATCTGTAAAATGCAGAAACATGACAAATTTGTGAGCTTCTAAATCCTAGTTATTCATCGATAATGTGGAAAAGGTAGAATCATACTAAACTTGAAGGCCCGATGAATCATATATCTCCCGGACGGAGGAACCATCAAAGGTGTTGGGTTTTGATACCCAATAAATTCGGGCGATGATATAAAACAGGTCGGATTATTTAGCGACACCATAGACTTGGCTCGACTCGGAAATGACCTATACTTTTGGATGGCCCAAGTTTGGGTTTGGATGGTTATGTTGTTAGCCCATTTATGTGGTTAGTTGTGGGAATTATTTGGTAACTCATTTAGTGGACTTTGGCCCATTTTGGAGGACTGTTTGACCCAAAATTAAGTGACCTAATTGACCCCTATTTATTCCTCCCATTCCCAGCCCTTTTTTGGGTGTGTGTGAAGTGTGTGCAGAGAATGGAGAGAAGAAGTAGCCATGGAGAATAAAGGACAGCCGAGTTTTGTTTGGTGGATTTATTGGTGAGTTCCAACTACTGTTATTCTCTTCTCCTTCCTTCATGTGTAAGCTTACAGTCGCCACCACCATATCTCCTTCATGGGGATGAAACTTGGAGCAAACAAGGTGTAGAAGTTTTGGTCGAGCCTTGGTAATGTGGTGTTCGTTTGGTTATTTTATGAGCCCGAAATTAAGGTTTCTCGAGGGATTTCTTTCTACACAAATGGTATTAGAGCTTGGTTGTTGAGAAATATGTGATTTTTTGGGTGAAAAAGTGGCGAAAATGGACCAAAAAGTGGCTGAAAACCTACAGAAAAACAGAGGAAGAAGTTGTCCAGTTTTTTTCAAAATTTGGTGCAAATGTGTTTTTAAACGAATCCAGAGGTTTGGTGGAGAAACAGACACCACTGACGGACTCAGCAGGCGGGGGAGCAGCTGGGAGTTCGGCTCATGGCGACTGGCGGTGGCGCGTCCGCCGGCGCTTAAGGCCTACACGCAGCACCGGTGGTGGCGCATGGATGCGCAACGATCGAAATTTGNCAGCGATATCATGAATTAGAAGATCATCAGTTAAGCCCGGGGACTCCCCAAGCCGTACCGTATCTAGCGATAAAGATATTGTTGGGTGAAGACTGTGATTTTGTGTAGATTATCAATTAGCATAACAAATTTAATAAAATAAACATTATAACTCAACAATAACCCAAACATAAGAAGAGAGTTAAAAAAAAGCTTTAGAGAGTCATGTCAAAAATGTTGTCCTAAAATCGTGTTCTCCCATTCGTGCAGATACTTTCGACATTACACGACTTCAAGATAAAACTCATATAACTCACAATCGGTTCTCATATAAGCACGACCGTAGGAAGATAAAGCGCGAACATTTATTGAGAGTAAATCTAGTTACTGCACGAGCATCTATGTGTAACCCTTTTTGCATGTGTGATCACTTAATTCTGTTGCATGGTAATATATTACACTTTCAATATGTTTGATGTGTGTAATGACATGAATTAAAGTGATCTTATTACTTTGTGTAATGTGTTTGCATGCATAGTAGGTTGATATCTATAGCG